TGGCGAGTTCCTCTTCACGGGACACATGCACTTTGGGGAGGCCCGGCTCGGCTGCGCCCCACGCCTAGAGGACTTCCAGCGGATGTACCAGGACGCAGAGGCGAGGGGGCTGAACCCCTGCGAGATGGCTGTGGAGTGACAGCGGGGTGGCTGTGGGGTGACCGAATTATTGGGGTGGACGCCTGGCGATCACGTGTGAAGTCTGATGCACGAGGTTCCGGCCAAGGAGACCCCAACCGATTGGTTGGAAATGCTGTAAAATGCAAACTAAGTTATTATATTTTTTTTAAAAAAAGAAATGCCCATAGGAAACACTCGCGTGCCTGTGTGCGCCATTGCAAGTGGTTTTTCAAAGACACCTGACTTCATTGCATTTGGCTGGTGTTTGGGGGGCCATGGCCCAGGCGAACCCCAGCACCAGGCTTTGTGCAAAGCTTGCCTATGTTCACAGTGTGTCTTACCACGGAGATCTGTGGAGCCAAATACTTGTCATTGTTTTCATTTGGTTTTTGCTTTTTAAAGAACATGGTTTGCCAGCCCAGCTCATTTGGGGCTGCAGCGGCCTCCCTCCAGGGATTCAGTGCCCCCACCTCATGGGCGATGGCACAGCAGTGGCCAGGCTGGTGCCCGGGTGCTGAGCTGGGCACTGACAGAGGGCTTCCCCTGGGAGCCCCAGGGCCCTGGCGGCAGGGCTTCCATGGTCCCACTAAGTGCCCTGTTACCCCTACACTCCAGGGATGTGCTGGTCTCAGCCAGATGCCCCCTCCTCCTCCTGTTAACCCAGATCCTGCTCTTGGACCCCCACTTCCCCCAATGCCCCAGCCCACAGCAGCCTCTGGACACCCAGGGGTGGACAGGGTGGGGATCAGTGACCCCATATCCTCAAGGAGGAGAGTGTCCTGTAGCTGCCATCACAAGTGACCACAACGGGGGCTTCAACCCCACATCCTCTGAGGCCAGGGCAGCTGGCGCTCCCTCCAGGCTCCAGGGACGGAGCCTACCTGTGTCTCCAGTTTATAGTGGCTGCACAGTCCTGTGCATCCCAACCTCCCCTCTGTCGTCACGGGTCTTCTCCCCTCCGTGTCCTGTGTCCACGCTGACCTTCTCTTAGGACACCGGTCACTAGATGGGGGCCCAGTGACCTCAATGTGATTACATCTGTAAAAACCCATTTCCAGATAAGTTTACATTCACAGTTTCTGGATAGATGTGAATTTTGGGGGACACTATGTACCCCAGTACAGGGTCACTGGTGTCAAATAATCAGGCCTGGGCCAACGTCCTCAGCTATGAATCAGGTGATGTCTCAGCAGCTGTGAGACCAAAAGACAACCCAGGAGAGGCCCACAGTGGTCAGTGAGCATCATGCTGGCTGCACTGAAGACAGGCACCGTGTGGTCATAGGCAGATGCAGTGTGCCAGGCCAGGTGTGCTCTGACACAGGTGTGAGCTGACACATTTGTGCACCGGCTCACATGTATACAGACAGGTGGGCCCTGGCTCAGGTGTGTACTGACAGGTGGGCCCTGGCCCGGATGTGTGCTGGCACAGGTCTGTGAGCCAACATGGGTGTGCACCAGCTCACATGTATACAGACAGGTGGGCCCTGGCTCAGGCGTGTCCTGACAGGTGCCCTGGCCCAGGTGTGTGCTGGCACAGGTCTGTGAGCTCCTGCAGGTCACAACAAGAAGCAGGTGCTTAGCACCTGCACCACAGGAAGCAGGGCACTGGCCTGAAGCTGCTGGTTGGTGACAGGAACAGGTCCCCCTGTAGCCAATAGCTGGCGGGTTTTGACCGGAGGATGTGTGACAGCAGCAGCGGGGACAGCTGACCTGCTCCTGGGCTGTGCTGGGTTCTCTGTGCTGGCTCAGCCCCACTGACTCTGACAGGAGGCCTGCAGGGCAGCCGAGGCTGCAGAACCAGAATGTCAGGTTTCGGTTTCGGGGGCGGCGTTCCTCCTGACATCAGTGCAGGGATGAGGGGACCCATGGGCCTGACCTGTGAGCGATGTCAGGGGCACAGCAGCATTCTCTCCGTGGGAGACCGTCTGCAAGGGGGTCAGGTGAGGTCCAGCCCTGCTGACGGTGGCCTGGCACACAGGAGCCTCGCTCTCCATGGCCTATGAGCTTAGTGCCCAGCACAACATCCCCACGCCGTCAGGGCTGCTGGGCATGGGGCAGGCCTGGAGGGTCCCCATTTCTGAAGGAGCACAGAGCCCCTATGCCGGTGCCCTCTTGCTGCCCAGAGCCTCATGTGGGCATCTGAGACCACTATGTATGCCAGCCTTCCGCGTCGGTCCTGGGGGAAGCCCCCATGCTGTGCAGCCCTGAGGGACCAGGCAAGGCCCTGGAGGGTCTCCATAGGGTCCTCTGATCCATGCTCTGCCTTGTGGATAAAGGTCCGGTCACTTTGGAGTGGACCCTTCTGTGGCTCCGTAAAGAGGTTGAGGGGGAGTCATGTGGGAGCCCCCTCACCATGTGCTCCAGATCCCACCTGCCCTGTCCAACGGCCCCCACTGCCCCTCCCTCCGCTACCTCCTGCTGGAAGCACAAGCCCAGGCCTCCCAGCACCAGTTTCCCTGCTCCCTCCTCCTGCATTTCCAGAAATGAGACTTCACTGATTTCACCTCTGCATTTCCCCACCCACTGCAGGCCCCAGACACGATCCCCCAAACCCTCTCCCTGGCAAGTTCTAAGGGATGTCCTTGTTCTCCTGACTCAGTGTCACTGGGACCCTCTTCTAACACATGCCGGTGGGAAGAACCCTGGTTTGGGCCTGTCCAGTGACATCACAATCAGGAAACACACGTTCTGAGCTCCCTGCAGCCTGTGACCTCCCTCCTGTGCTGGGGGAAGTGAATCCTGGGCACGCTCTTCCTCTCCACTCTTCTGCCCCGCCCCCCCATGGAAATGTGGGGAGGGACCCTGGCCGTGACTTCTGTTGGGGTCTGGATGCCCCGAGGACTCGGGACCCTGAACCCTGATGCTCAGGGGCACCCATCTCTCCTCCCGACCCCCCTTACCTTGGCCTGACACCTGAAGAGTCAGGCTAACCCTGTGGCCTCCAGCTGGGAGCATCTCCTCAAACCCTGGGTCTTGTTTCCTGTGGGCCACAGCTGTGGGGTGTATGTGCTCACGTGAGGTCTGGCTAGGGTCTGCACCCACCTGTGTAGCCAACTGGGACCCAGGGGAACCTCAAGACCTCATGTGGGTGTTCCTGTCCTGGCTTCTGGTAGCAAGCTGGCCCCCAGGCAAGGGCCCCACCGGATGCCCAGGCCAGGCTGGCCCCCCAACGGGTGTCCTTTCAGCCTGGGGCACCCTGCTTTCTTGGCTGGGGGAGAACTGGGGCCTTGAGTCAGGCCCTCTGAGTCAGGCTCTCTGGGGCTGTGCTCCGGCTCCAGCACTGGGACCCTTGGAGAGGCTGGCCCCCCAGATGTGACTCATCCTGGTGTGAGGGGGGGCGTGGGTGGGTGAGAGGTGAGGTGAGGTGCAATGTGAGCCCTGTGGTCTGAGCTCTGGGCTGGTTTCTGGGAGGAGCAGATGTGACTTGGAGGCTGGGGAGACGGGGGAGGGGTAAGGAAAGGGACCCAGCACCCGGCCACTTACAAAGTCAGCAGGGCTCTCTCTGGACTCCTGCCTCCTGTCAGCACCGAGAAAACTGCTCGGCCCCATGACCGGGGAACAGGGTCTCCTATTGACAGCCGAGTTTCTGTGATTCCTGCCCAGTGAGCCACGTGTCCACGCATGGGGCCCATTTCTGTCATCGGATACTGTCCTGTGTCTATGGTGAGTGGCCCAGAGATGTTCTCCTCCCGGCCCCTGTGAATGTGTCACTGGTGGCCTGGATCCACAGGCCTGAGAAACGAAGCAGGAGGAAGAGGGGGTGGGGTGGGGACTGAGGTGGCCAGGAGACTGCTGTGCAGGTGGAGGAAGGGAAGGGAGTCACCGGCCAGCAAGGGTCTGGCCTCCGGGAGTTGAAAAGGCAAGAAGCAACCTTTAATAAATTAATAAGGTGTCATAATGTACTAAAAAAAAAAGAAGAAAAGAAAAGGCAAGAAGCAGATTTGAGGTCTGGAGCCTCCGGAGGGCCCAGGCCCTGGGCACCTTGATCTCAGGCCCGTGTGGCTCAGACTCCAGACCTCAAATCTTTGCATTATAAACTGCTGCTTTCGGCACAATGAGTTTACGGAGACGAACACACCAGTGCACCCGCTCACCTGGGGCTGAGGGGGTGCAGCAGGTCCCCCGATGGCACTGGGTGCTGGTGAATTCCCCTAAAGTGTGTAAAATGCTGTTATGTGTCTACATTTTTAGAAACAAGCTCATAACTTATCAGAAGCTCAAAGTCAGGAACATGACTCCGTCCGCACAGGGGGGACTGCAGGGCAGGTGTGCTTTTCCTGGGATTTGTAAAGAATCGAGCTCTTTCCCCACCTCTCCCTGTCACTCCCTGTCTCTCCCTGTCTCCCCCTGTCTCCCCCTGTCTCTCCCTGTCTCTCCCTCTCCCTGTCTCTCCCTCTGTCTCTCCCTCTGTCTCTCCCTCTCCCTGTCTCTCCCTGTCCCTCTTTGTGCCCCTCCATCCCTGGGGTATTTTCCCTCCTATTTGCTGACTAATGCTGCCTGGTAACCTGCTGCCTGTGAGCTCACTGCAGGCCGCAGGATCTCAGGTGTGGTGTCTGGAGCTGCTGGGATGCTCCTGTCCACACCTGGTCTCACCCGTCCTGAGTCAACCTCTCGATCCAGACAGCGCGGGGCCCTCCTCCGGTCTTCACCCATCTCAGCGACCCCCCAACTGGACCCACCTGTGGTTCCCCCTCTCCCCAGTGCCCTGGACCCGTTTCCTCATGGGCGGCCCCTCCTGAGCCTCCTCTGTCACTCTTGGCGGATTTGCTCGGAGGATGCTGGCTGCAGCCCCTCACTGGGGCCCGAGATGAAGGCCATGGGACATGGGCAGGGACAGATCAGGGCAGCAGCGCAAAGCGGAACCACCCTTGAGGGAGACCGGGCCCTGGCATGACTGCAAAGGCCAAGGCAGATGGCTCCGGGCTGTTCGTCACAGCTGCACCATGCGGGCAATGGGTCCAGGGGCCGAGGGGAGTGCGCGCTGGTGGAGGCCCCGCAGGGCTCACAGCTGTGGCTCCCTGGGGGCTGACGCAATCCCCATCCTGAAGACAGGATCCCTCCTTCCCATGCCAAGGTGTTCTGGCTGCCAGCGCCCGGCTCTGGAGGGGTGCAGGCGTGTGTCGTGCCTGCAGCCTGGCAGGGAGTTTCTTGTGGACTGGGGACCAAGTCCAGAGCCTGGTCCAGGCTCCACA